AGCGTCCAGAGGAGGCCGCCCTGCAGGGCATGGGCAGCGGGGCCCGGGGGCCACAGCGAGTCTACGCAGGGCCCTGAGCCACGCAGACCGTCACCTCCGTGTAGCCTGGGAGTGACTGTGGTTCCTGTGGCCCCAGCTCCGTGAGCAGATAAGAGGAGGGCGGTTTCAGGGCGCCCGGTCTGTAGCTACCAGGGAGCCTGCCTGGGTTTGTCTGTTTCAGGGCGCCCGCCTCCCAGGGCGCCGTGCCGACAAGGGCACCGACGTGCCACTCGTTACCTGAGAAGTCGTATCTGATAAGCCCCATCCAGCGCTTCTTCTCGCTGTCCTTGATGATGTCCCCGTAGAAGCCGTAGCCCAGCAGCGACACCGAGTAGCGCAGCAGCGCGCCGTGGTGGTGCACCGCCCTCCATTGGCCGCCGGCCTGTCCCCCCCTCCCCCTAGGCGCCCAGCAAGCTCTCAGGAGATGTGACTAAGAGGCAGACGACGGGAGGGCGTCACTGCGACATCTGTCCTCTGGGTGCCCTGCCCGAGTCACATGACACCGGGAGAGCTGCTGCGTGGGGACGAGCAAGGACATGCGCACGCAGCTCGCTCGGGGTCCCCGGCGGACGGGGTGGGTTTGCCGGCGGAGGGGCTCCACGCCTTAGAATACGCAGTCACGCGTCTGAGAGGTCGCAGCCACTCCTGCCTCTCGGCCCCTGACCCGCAGCACAGGGGTCCCTCCGGAGGGGCCTTGAGGCAGGCACACAGGACAGGACAGTGGAGGGCAGCCAGGGCCCGCCCGCCCGGCAACAAGGGGCTAGGCCCTGAGTGGAGGGAAAGCCGAGTGCAGGGCCCCAGCCGGGCCTGGGACAGAGGAGCAGCCCGGCCAGCGCATGGACACCGAGGAGGAGAGCCGCCAGGTCACGGGGTGCTGGCCCCCCAAGGCTCTGGAAGGGTTCTGAGCAGGGTCTGTGCTTTGCAGGACCCCCTGGCGGTGTGGGAAGACGGGGCAGATGGCAGTGGAGGGGAGCCTCAGGGACAGAGCCCTGCTGGCAGACGGCCGGGCATGGAGGGTAGAGAGGCTCGCAAGCCCTCACCAGCGTGGGCTGCTCACAGTCCGTGGGCTGGGCAGGACCTACCCACAAAGATGGGCGGGACCTACCCACAATGATGGTCCCAGACCTACCCACAAAGATGGGCGGGACCTACCCACAATGATGGACGGGACCTACCCACGATGATGTGCAGGGCCGAGGTCTTTGCGTCGTTGATGCCGACGGTGGAGTAACACACACAATCTGTGGACCCTAAGAAGGGAAAAGATTTTAGAAAACGAAGTTTCTGGCTAATGCATGGCTCCTCCTTTTCCTCCAGGGCCCCCGAGTAAATAAGGAACAAATACGCTTTATCCACAAAATGAATGTTGGGAACAGTGAGGTGAACTCGTCAGAAATGCCGAGTGGCCTTGCAACACCACCAACCAGCTCCTCAGCCGGGAGTGAAGCCCCGAGAAACGCCTGCGGCGGCCGGTCCAGCAGCTCAGTGCCCTGCCCGCTGGGTCCCCTCCCCCAGGCAGGTGCACAGACA